GAAGCAGGAGACCAACCAAGAGGAATGGAACTGAGCAGGAGGAGAGCCAGTAGGGGACACATTATCGAAGTTGCCTTGAGGCAGTGGGGGCTGAAATCTACCAGAACCTCCCAGGAAGCCTGCAGAAATACCACCCAGAATTGTCCACTTGGATCTGTTGGCTCCTGTCGTGCCCCGGTTGAGGGTTGCCTCTGAATGCTGTGCTTGCATGGCTGACAAAGCTCTCACTTTAGTGTTGGAGAAGGCCTTGGCGAGAACAGTGGGCAGTGTGTTCTTGAGGAGGTATACTGTCATCACAGGGTGAGTCTGAGCTTGCACAGAACTGTCTGCTACAGCTATGGCCGAAATCATAAGTGAGCCAAGCTCATGCGAAACAAGGTATCAGAAGATTTGCTAAAATGATTTCCACCCAAAATGATTCCAAGTAACGTTTTGGGACTTAGTAATACTGTTTCAGCTATCTAGGAAAGTGGCATTATATATAACGTCACATTACAAAGCTTTGCTCAACAGCTGAGGCGTTGCAGTATCAGTTTCTGTTTCAAGTGAAGAGTCATCCCAGTGGTTGTTGTCTCTCACTATAGGAATTGGCGGGGGAATCATCCATCAGCATGAACTGATCCATGGAAGCTCCTTCTGTGCGGCAGAACTTGGCCACCTTGTTGTCTCTCTGGATGGGCCTGACTGTTCCTGTGGAAGCCATGGGTGTATTGAAGCCTATGCCTCTGGAATGGCCTTGCAAAGGGAAGCAAAAAAGCTGCATGATGGTTGGTTTCGTTTCCTGAGGAATTAAATAGCCAAATGGTAGACAACTACTTTAAAGTAGATATTCCAAAGAGAGCTGAACACTAAAGCCAGAACTTTTAACCTTTTCACCTCCTAGAGGAAAAGTGGGCTCTCTCATACTGAAGCTCCAGAGTCTTCTTGGTCCTGACCCACACTAACATGCTTCCTCTCCGGTGGCAGAGATGGGCAGGGCCCTTGAACTCCAGGATAGCAGGGAGGAGTTCTTCTGTTTTTGTTTTCTCAGCCCCTAGCACAGCGTGGGAACTTACGACACTTTTAATGAAGAATTAAATAGATGAACATACAGTTTTTAACTCTGAAAGGTCTATTTTGAATTAAAGCTGTTTCTGGACATGTTATAAAAATGAGGGTGGTTTCTAGTCTAATGCATGAGGGAGTCATTTAATGTAATATGGTGTGTCAGGTCCAATGAGAATGACAGCCAAGGAATGTAGGTGCATATAAGGACACCAGCATTCCCTCTGGGGGTGTTGAGTCAGAGGGTAAACAGAATTAGACAAATTTAGATAAGCAAGGGAACGCTTTCAAGCATGGAGAACAGTGGTATTGGTGCGTATTGGGCCAGGAAGTACAAGTGTAGCAAGAGGTAAGCCAAGACCAGCAGCTAATGGAGAAGCCACTGAAAATTTTTAGATTCTTCACTAAACTATAACTTTTTGTTTTCTGGGGTTGGGTAGTAGTTGAATGGAGAATGGCTTTAAGTGGGACAGTTCTAGGGTGACTTTGTTTTCCAGATGGACAGGTTGAGGTTGGGACTATAAGAGGAACAGGTTTTGGCAGCAGGTAATGGCTGGGTGCCAATGGGACATCCAGGTGGAAATGCATAGGAGGCAGCTGACTATAGGGGTCTGATGCTCAGGGGAGATGAGGTAAGGATTTGTGAATCGTCAGCATTAAAGGGTAGTTAAACCTGTGAGTGAGAATGGGGCAAGAGTCAAAAATGGAATCCAGCAAAACATCAGCATTTGAGGGCAGGGCAGAAAACCAGGAAAGAGTAAAGCCACAGAAGCCAAAAAGGGAGTGTTTCAGTGAGGTTATAGTCAGTCATGTCAAGTGCTGCTTATGAGTAAGAGAAAATCAGAAAAGTTCAGTGGCTTTAGCCATGAGGACATCATTTGAAGCCCTGAAAAGTGTTTATTCTTCAGCCTCGTTTTTTATCACAACCCTCCACAAGGAACCTGTTTAGATGTTTTTTTCCTAATCATTTAACCCCATGAAACTTTAATACCACAGATATGTTGATTATCTGTTTATGTCAGTCTGTACAAAGAGTAAGATTCCCCGCCCCCTTGAGGGGTGGGGCAAATGCACATCTTAAAGAAGTTTAGCCAAATAGTGGGGGCAGAAGCCTAACTACACGGAGTAAGAGGGAAGAAGTGCTTTGAGGACATGGGATTTGTGAGATGTGCCAGTGGGAAGGAAACAGTGAGAATGGAAGCAGAGGTTGAGAATGCAGTAGAGAAAGGGTGCTCCCTACAGTAAGGCCCCTAAAGAGGGGGAAGAGATGAGTACAAAGCCCAAGCGGAGGGCCCGAAGGGAGGGAACGAAGGAGCGAAGGAGCTAGTGATGTCAGAACTGGCAACTGAACGCAGGTCCGTGTTTCTTCCTTGGGCCATGCACCTTCCTGCCATAGAATGTGGGGCACTGGCAAGTAATGCCACATGGCATTCGGGTTGGATAAGGAAGATGAATGTAGACAGAGAAGTCTGATAATTTGGAAGCAAAAACACTTCAAGGACCCTGCTTCATATGGAAGTGAGAAGTGAGGGAATCGGGTGTGTAGGAGACTCTGGTCAGAGTTGAGGATATTCCATTTAGGGGTGTCCTGAGTGATGTATAACCAGGCAGTAAGAGGGCAGCAAAGGTCTCTGGAGAATGTATGTGGATGTTCATGAATGATAAAAGGCTTTGCAAATGTGAAAAGAAGATAGTCTTCCCATTTGGGGCCCACTGCCCACCAGCAGTTGTAACCGTGGCCGCCTAACAGGGCTGCCACAGCTCATTAATGACTGCTTCCTCTTACCTCTGCTCGAACAGAAGACCTACTCTTGGTAGAAGGGATGTCAGTGCCAAAAGACGAGGCCGTGGGTGCACTCCATCTCATCCAAGCTGCAAAACTTGGCAATGCAAAGGCCCAGAGCATCTTGAGAACAGGTGAGTGTCGGCTCCTGGCAGCTCTAGTGCAGGAGGCGGGCCTTCAGGCTGTCCCGGGCTCCCTCAAATACGCAACTCCTCTCAGGACCAGCCCTCTGGAGTGGCTGTTCAGAAGTATTTTTCCAACTTACTGAGAGAGAAAAGGAAATTGCTTTCAAGGTATTTAGCAGTATCACCTTATTTATGCAGAGTTTTTTTTTTTGTTTAATTTTATAACTATGAAGAAACTACTTGTTCATTTTATAGGAAATTTAGAGAAATAGGAGAGTAAAAAAAAAGTGTCACTTTAAGTTTTACTGTTCAGAGATATCAACTATTAACATTTCCTTCCAGCTTATTTGTCTACATAGTTGAGGTCATATGTAGTTGAGATCATTTAGTATGGTATATACAAATTTATACTCAGGTTTTTTCATTTCAAAGTATCCCATGTTCATTTTCTCATATTAAGAATAAATCATGAACAGCTTTAAAAGTACTGCTTCCCATTGCATAGTATGAATATACTAACTATTCCTGGCTGCTGGCTCTTTTCCACTTTCCTCTTGGGCGTTTTTGGTGTGGCTCTCTTCATAAAATGTTTTCTGTTTTTCTCTAGCTGGAACGGCTTTGGGTCTTGGGGTTGTGAACATCCTCCACACTATGAACCCTTCCCTTGTGATCCTCTCTGGAGTCCTAGCCAGTCACTACATCCACATTGTCAAAGACGTCATCCGCCAGCAAGCCTTGTCTTCAGTTCAGGATGTGGATGTGGTGGTTTCGGATTTGGTGGATCCTGCCCTGCTTGGTGCCGCCAGCATGGTTCTGGACTACACAACTCGCAGGATCTACTAGGCCTCTCAGTCGTGGACATGGACCAAGACGCGAGAGCTCCTCATTGCAATCAGCCTGTCTTTTAAATGAACATTTCTTAAAAAGCGAGTTTGGATCTACAGCCATGCCACCCTGAACATGCCCGATCTCATCTGATCTCGGAAACTAAGGAAGGTCGGGTCTAGTTAGATGGGAGACCACCTAGGAAGACCGGGTACTGTAGGCATTAAAAAACAAAACAAAACAACGAATTTGGTATTTAAATTTGCTATTTTGCAGGTGACTTTGGCAGAGCAGTTTTTGCTTTTAATTTCTCTTCCAAAGTTGCCTTTTCCCAACCATTTCTGTAGATGCTGCCCTTTCTGGGGTCATTTCAGCTCAAACCCTATAACCCTAGCCAGTTTTCTGTGCCAAAAGGAGCAACAATAGAAGATGAAGCCTTAGGCCTCTGCTTTCTATATGTACCGCTCAGACTTGCAGGCCTTCCTTGGGATGTGACCTGGATTATTAATCCTTCCTCCTCTGACCCTGAACTGAGATCATAGAAAGGGATCCAGTCAAGGAACAGAAGGAAATCTTACCACGAAAGGTTTAAGTAAACTTTTTAAAAAACAGCTTTATTGAGCTCTTTTTAAAAGTTTGATAAACTTCAATATATGTATATACCTGCGAAACCATTACCACTATCATGATATTAATATATCTGTCACCACCCACCCTGCCTCCCCGCCCCCGCCATTACTTATTCCTCTTAGAACCTTGAGCAACTTTAGACCAGGGATCTGAATTATACTGGCTTTAATGACCCTGTCCTTATATTCTTAAGAACAACTGAGAAGCCACTAGGACTTATACCCTCTGAAAGGAGATTAATAGTCCCAAAAGCATCTTTGCTGCTGGCAAGCAGACACCTCTCCCTTCAGTAGCTTTTCATACTATGTCGAATATGACTCTGGAGTGTCTTTTAAGGTGAGGTTTGTGATATCTAGAGCCCACATCTGTGAATGTGAATTCTGGCTAAATAAGATTCCATGCCATCAAGGCACAAAGAAAGGACAAGATTCTTGCTGTCAATTACAAGCTGGAAGAAATACTAATAGTCACCATTTATTAAGTGCCTACTATGTCAGACTCTGAACTAACATTCTGAATTCTCACAACCTGTGATGTAGATGTTTTAATTCCCATTTTGTAGAACCCCAAACTAAGCCTTAGTGTTTAGACATACCTAAAGCTATAGGCTAGTGAGTCTTAGAGACAGGGTTTGATCCCAGGTCCCGCTGTAGTTTTCTGCTAAGCCTACAACCTCTTATATCAGAAACTTTCAAAATGCAAATATATTCTGATTTACTTACTGCAAGCTACCAAATAAGCTTTAATAAGAATATCTCATTAGTAATAACTTGATTTATCCTTGACACTATCTCTAAACAGTGGATTTAATCAGATATTCCTTTAGGCTAAGTTTTGCTGGTACAGTTTGGACTAGTAATAGCTTTTATAAGTACTTTTGGATGATCTAAAACATATACATATGTTTTTCAGATTGTTTTATTATTTTAGGAAAACCTGAAGCTTTCTACAACATATTATTTCAGTATTAGCATATAAAATGAAATGAAGGAATCAACTACTTCCTTCCTGGTGGGTTAATATGAAAAGATATGTTGGCTGATTTCTAGAATTCTGCCAGCCCTGAAATAATCTCCAAGTCCTGGTTATTGTTGAAACATTCCAGTGATTCCTGGGAAGGAGGCTAGTCTGCTCAGCCATCAGTGTCTGGGGCAAGATGGTATACTGTGAAGGGGTGTCAGTTGTTCCTTGGTGAAATCTGTAACCATTCTATACACCAGACAATTGCATTGCTACCCAAATATATGAAGGATGATACTGAATCTAAATCAAAATCTTAGTTTTTATTAAACTCATAGGCTAATATATTCCAACATAATTCTAACCTAGTTAATAATCACATCTTAATTTATTTTAATTGTAAATATTTTTGTTGCAGTTTTGAGCCCAATTCTAAAGAAAAAATAAATGTATTTCCTTGTGGAAATCCTAGCACTTTTGTAATTTGCTTTGTTCTTAACTCATTAGCTAAAAGCATTTCCTTTCCAAGAGATTTATATTGTTGCATTGCTTACTTTTTGAAGGTCATATAAACTTCTTTAGGGCATCTAAAATGGATTACTTAACTAAAAGAAAAAAAAAATTGACAACAGAAAGCATTGTTATATAACATTTAAAAATATATCGTGAACACCACAGTAAATCACTAGTAGTTAACATATCACAGTTATAGAATTTTTTTTGTGATGAGAACTTTTAAGATCTATTCTTAGCAACTTTCAAATATCCGATACAGTAGTAACTATTGTCGCCATGCTATACATGACATCCCTATGATTTATTTATAACTAGAAATATATACCTTTTGACTCTTCACCATTTTAACACCCCCCCCTCCACCTCTGGCAACCACAAATCTATTCTTTGTATCTATGAGCTTGGTTTGTTGTTTTTTAAAGACTTCACAAAGTGGTGAGATCATATGGTATTTGTATTTCTGACTTATTTCACTTAGCATAATGCCCTCAAGGTCTATCCATATTGTCACAGATAGCAAGATTTCATTTTTTTATGGCTTAATATTCCATTGTGTGGAATATTATTTCTTTATGCATTTATCTGTCGATGGACTTAGGTTGTTTCTGTCTTGGCTATTTTAAATAATGATGCAGTGAACATAAACCTTTTCCAATTAGTGTTTTTGTTTTCTTCAGATAAATACCCAGGAGTGAAATCGCTAGGTCTCATGATCTATTTTTAATGAGTTATCTCTATACTCTTTTCCATATTGGCTGCACCAATTTACATTCCCACCAACCGTGCCTGAGGGTTCTCTTTTCTTCACATCCCTGCCAATACTTGTTGTCTTTTTAATAACAGCCACTCTAACTCTAACTCTAAGGTGTGAGGTGGTGTCTCACTTTGGTTTTGATTTGCACTTCCCTGATGATTAAGTGATGTTGAGCATCTTTTCATGTACCTGTTGGACATCCGTATGTACTCTCTGGAAAAATGTCTATTCAGATCTTCTGCCCGTTTTTTAATGATTGTTTTTTGCTATTAAGTTGTATGAGTTCTTTATATTTTTTAGATATTAACCCTTTATCAGATAAATGATTTGCAAGTATTTTTTCCCATTCATTAGGATGCCTTTTCATTTTATTAATGGTTTCCTTTACTGTGTGGAAGCTTTTAAGTTTGATGCAGTCCCACTTGTTCAGTTTTACTTTTGCACCCTTTGCTTTTGGTTTCAAATCCAAAAAGCATTGACAGATGTCAAGGAGCTTGCTGCCTGTCTTCTAGGAGTTCTATGGTTTCAGTTCTTAAATTCAAGTCATTAATCCATTTTGAGTTAATTTTCGTGCATGGTGTAAAATAGTGGTCCAGTTTTCCCAACACGATTTATTGAAGAGACTATTCTTGATTGTATATTCTTGGCTCCTCTGCCGTATATTGACTGGTCAAATATGTGTGAGTTTACTTCTGGGTTATCTATTCCATTGATAGATGCGTCTGTTTTTATGCCAATACCACGCTCTTTTGATAATTATAGATTTGTAAATATAGTTTGAAATCAGTGAACATGATGTCTCCAGCTTTGTTCTTCTTTCTCAAGATTGTTTTGGGTATTCAGGGTCTTTTGTGGTTCCATATAAATTTTAGAATTGTTCTATTTCTGTGAAAAGTGCCATTGGAATTTTGATAGGAATTGTATTAAATCTGTAGAATGCTTTGGGTAGTATGGACATTTTAATAATATTAATTCTTCCAGTCCATGAACACACAGGGTATCTTTCCATTTATTTGTGTCATCCTCAGTTTCTTTCACCAATCTCTGCTAGTTTTTAGTCTTTTACCTCCTTGGTTAAATTTATTCTTCGATATTTTATTCTTTTTGATACAGTTGTAAATGGGATTGTTTTCTTCTGATAGTTCGCTATTAGTGTACAGAAACCATTTCTGTACATTGATTTTGTGTCTTGCAACTTTACCAAATTAAGTGTTTTGGCAGAGTCTTTAGGGTATACTATATATAATATCATGTCACCTGCAAATAGTTGAGTTTTAGTTTTCCCTTCTAATTTGGATGCCTTTAATTTCTTTTTCTTGCCTAACTGTTCTAGCTAGAACTTCCAGTACTACGTTGAAAAACACTTAAAATTTGACATAAAAAGCAAAGTAGCCCCAAGGAAGAGGTTTGAAATTAAATGTTGAGTACTCAGCAAGTCCCTGGGACCAATTCTCTCCTTTTTATGAAGCCCCATGTGAGTAATGTAGGCTTTAGAAACAATCCCAAGTTACTACTGCTGTGTAACAAACCACATCAGAATCCAAGAGGCTTAAACAGTAATCACATTCTCTCATGGTTTCTGTGGGTCAGGAATTAGGGAAAGGCTCTACTTGGTAATGCACTTACAGTTAGACAGGGGCTGGAGCTGGAATAGCAGGAGGCTGGAATGTTAGAGACAGGCCAGGCATCTCTCTCTGCTTGTAGTTTCAGGGTCTCTCCACCTGGGCTGCTTTGGGCTTCCTCACAGCATGGCAGCTTCAGGGTGGTAGTTTTTTACATGGTGGCTCCAGGACTACTGGCTTGCATATTTCAACAAACCAGCTGCTCTGCCTTTTATAACAGCCTTGGAAGTCACAGAGCATTACTTTTGTCATATTATCCAGTCCTCTTGATCTGAGGAATATCAGAGACTTTACTGACATTTTATAACTGCCACATCCACCCTTAAGAGATCCATCTGGTGTGGGAGGCAAGACTAGCCCAGATGACACTACCGAGGTATTACCCAAAAGGTAATAAGCTGCCCCACCAGAGGGCTATGGGAGCTCAGCAGGACTAAGGGAAGGCATTGGGGAAGTGGCCTCTGAGCTAGTTCTTAAACTGGATTTTGGTATTTTGAATGGCATTAGCAATGCCCAAAAGTAACAAATGGTTGGTGAACGACAGTGACTGCTTGATTGCAATCCCGGAGGGGGAGTGGCGGGGGAGGGTTGTTAAAAGGAGAAAAAGAGCAAAGAGGCCAGAATTGTGGGCCAAATCAAGGAATGCCCAACTAAGAAGCTTGGAAAGGGGGGGATAGGTGGAAAAGTCCAGACATAATTACCGTAGGAGAGATGGCAGACTTTCCTTTTTGGCAATGGCAAGACCTATGCCCTCCAGAGTGTAGCATTACAGTTTACATCAATCTCCAACTTGGAAATATCAGGTAACTATAAGGCAGATTTCTGAAATATGGCTTTGTTTCTCAAACCATCACTTAAAAGGTGAAAGGTTCTGAGGGTAGATATTGTGTTGATGCCTGACTAGAGCATAGTCCCCTGGAGGCACCTGTTGTGTTAATCATTGCGGTCCAGAATTTTCTGCGATGATGGAAATATTCTATATAATCTGTGCTGTGTCAATCAGATAATACCTAACCACATGTAGCCACTAAGCACATGAAATGTAACTAGGGCTAGAATGTAATTTGCAATTTTAGTTAAATAGCCATATGTGCCTAGTGGCTACTGTCTTGGCCAGCAAGGTCTAAATGAAGAATTTGACAATAGCAATATGAGCAAAGTGCTAAAGGAATCCAGAGTAATGAGGCTAGCCACACGCTGATGTCATCCTGACTCAGGTTTACTGGCTGAATACAAAGGAGTAAAGGTCTCACTATAGTCTATATAACCCAGAGAGACCCTGAAATATACTATCCAAGACCCTAAGTAAGGGACAGTATAGACAAAAACCATCTGGGAGAAAATGTCTAGGTTGGTGAGAATTCACAGCTCTAAGGTGGGCAATGAGGAGCTAACTTTTAGCCTTGGAATTCCTTTTACAAATGGAAACGGCCATAGAATATTACTAAAGACAACAGAAATTTGGAGCTATTTTAGTTCAAGGCAGGGGTGGAAGCCCAATGTCTGTGCCTCTATAGCCCTAGAAATGATATAAGTAAATTCCTCATCCTTTTGAACCTCACTCCAAACTGCAGCACATCTTGAGGTCAATAATGAAGCTTCCTGTTTATTGTTTGAAACAAATTTATTCTCAGAATAATGCACAAAAGCACAAGTTCAGACTACCATCGGGAGGCTTCCCTCCCTTCCTCCGCCGCCTCCCCACCTCTCTGAATGCCAGGGAGAACACAGTTGAAGGAAGAAACATGCAATCACAAACAATGATCAACTCTAAAGACAAAAGGTTTGGTCCAAAAGAACTCAACATAATTAATCCAATTACGTGAAGAGCTTCACTGAGTAGGATTAAGATATTGCAGATGTAGTGTTTCCACAGTGGGGGCTCTTCAGTGCACCAGGGGGGCCTGCTTGAGGGAGATGAGGACAGAACGCATGCGGGAGACGTCTTTGGCCTGCTTGCTGGACTTGGGATTAAAGTCACACAGCCGGGCCACCCGTTCCCACTCAGTGCCTGGGGACGACTCATCAATGTCATTTACAAAGGCTTCTTCTGCTGCCCTGGAAGCAACAACAAAATATGTTGGTTTAATGTAGAACCCGCAGTAAGCTACCTGGTGGCTGCCTTTTACAGAAATGACTGCGTCTTCATGCCTGACTTAATGGCATTCTGGTTTTCCAAAGAATCACAGCCCCTGGGGTCCAAGTTGGGGAGCAGACACATGGCCAGCTCTCCTAAGCACAGGGTGCCCGGACTGCCGTGTAAAATGTTGGAATACAGGTGTTTGGTTCAGGGCGCTCGCTCGCTCTCTCTCTCGTTCTGTGTGTCTGCCTCTACTGATACAAAGCATTAAAAAAGCAATTCTTTAGCCAGTTACACATTGCTTTCATTAACAAGAGCAAAGAAGCTGGCTGGTCAAGAACTTGAACAGTAGTTTATGTTGGGCTGTACTAAGTTTCAAGTAAATTTAGAGACTTCTAAAAGCCCACAGGTCATTGCACAATAGCCTCTGGATTTATTCCTAAGGCTGGAGAGAGACAGGGCAGATCAAAAAGAATTCAAGACAAGCTCCCATGCTAGCAGGCACTAGGGACTAAAGCCATTCTGGAAGGGGTTTGTCAGGACATTCTCCAGTTCAGCCATTTTCCCTCCAGCCAGGTGCCTTGGGCCACTGAGGGCACACTGTGGCAGGGGTGGGCACCCAATGGCCGGAGAGCCAATCAATGTTAGGTGCTTTTTGGTAGGATGCTGCTCCAACATTCTTTCAGTCAAGGTCAGCCAACCCCATTGGGAACCAGCTGGTGGGAGCTACAGCCCAAAAGGACAGTGGTAAGAAGAGTGAAGACACACTATATTCATCTACTCCAACAAGCATCACGGGCAAAGCAAAAGCAATGGAGATGACTGGTCCGTGGGGACAGAGGGTGGCACTCTCACAGGGATGGCCGTGGCAAACACAGCTGAAGCCAGAGCCACTACAACACTGCGACTGCATGGCACACACAGTTAGGAGCAGTGAGAAAGATTTACTTAACTGTTCTAGGCTGTAGCAAGGATGGTTTATGTTTGTGCTTAAAGGTGAAGAGAAGAAAAACAAGGAGAGAAACTTTAGGTCAGATATAGAAAATGAGAATGAGCTCAATGCAGATGGTCAGTAAGCTAGACATGCCCTTGCCACTCTATATACGCTTGGGAACGTGCAGCTGGCTTTGCTGGGCCACCCTGCTGCCCAGCAAACCCAGACTCGACCTTTCCACTCTCCATTTCTACACCAGAGAGAATGTGCAAAAATCAAATCCAACACCACCTGTAAGTCCAGCATTTCACAAGTCTCATTACAAATACATCTAGGGGCCCAGGAAACCCAGTTCTTCTAATGGGATGAACATTTCAAGGTCACAGGCCCTCAGCCTGTTGCCCACCCTTCCCATAAATTCTTCTCTTCCTCCATTCCACCTTGACCTCTCTTTAATCAAAAGCTAGTCCTAATAGTTGAGGAAACAGCAAGAACTATTTCCAAGTCTTCAGCAATACTGCTTTGATAACAGGAATCCTAAAAAAAATTTTTAAACTTTTCCAAAGAGTTTTCTGGAGGGGAAGGGAAGGCCCATATCAGAGGCCTCAAAATGGGGCCTCTCTGCAAGGCTGAGGGGACAGGGCATCAGAAGCTGGCTACTAAACAATTTCTGATGTGCAAGACCATAGAGAAACGATTACTCCCTCTGTTCTGGACTCTTCTGCCCAAGGGAGAGGCAACCAACCCTATATTCTTTGAAGGAACCCAAGTGTAGAAAATGCTGCCCCCACTGGCTCCAAAACCAGGACAGCCACCTCTCCCAGGTGGGGAAACTGCCCTTTCCCACTTGGGACAGGGAGGCAGCAGTGGTGGCAGCAAGAGGTCAGACAGAGCCCACCCCAGTCCCAAAGCCTTCCCAGACAAGATCACAAATGACCCACATTTTGATAGGGAGTCAGCTTCCTTCTCTCTAACACCCCTAATACAAAAAATGTAATCAGTTGCAGGGAGTAATGATTCTGCAAGACAATCAATGGGTCATACCCCCAGCTTATCAACTCTTGATCAGCACCCACAGTGCCAATTTGCAATCATGTAAAAAGCAAAGCAACTTGTGACATAAAAGGAGCATTAAATCTAAATGAAAAGTAGGAAGAATCAAAACAAGGAAAGGAATTAGTTTTGCAACATACACATAACCAATCACGTCAGCGAAGGGTTGTTTGTAGAAAGCTTCATCTGCCACCCTAGACAGCAAGAGGTCCAAAAGGCAGGCAAGCAGGCAGGAAAAAAGAGAGAACATTGAGAAGCAGAAACATCTCAAATCCACAATAGAGGCACAATTGTGCTCTGGAGAGCTGTTCCTGAGGCTCCATCCTAACCCAGAGAAGTTTCCAGCAATTGGGAGACTCCAGCAGGCGAGGTTTCCCGCTGGGACTCCCCACAGGGATTCTCCCCTTGCCTTACCCCAGCCACAACAAGCATTTCCTAAGCACTCACTTGTGGGCTTTTACAACATCATATTGATTCAATCTTCAACCCCAACAACCTCTAGGACACTGAGTGTTCTGACTGTACAGATGAGTTAAGAGACCTAGAGATGAAGCAACTCACTCAGCAGCAAATGGCAACAAGGCAGCAAAACTGATAGCCAAAGCTGCCCTCCTCTTTTCACTGTACATTAATACTTCTTTCTAGCTGGTGTGCGCTCAGGAAGCCATGCCACCTTCCTGCTAGCCTCAGTATCACTGGACATGAACACTACCAATACCAGACACACTAGGTCCCAAAGCCAGTTTTATCTTGGATTATCTGAGTACTGCTTCCCACATTGGCTGGGTGCCATCAATTTTCAGTATTGTAGGAACACATATGGTCATTTAAAAATTCCCAACTTAGAGAAAAAAGCAGCTGGAGGCAAGGGTTCTGGCTCTGGGACTGGTTTCCTTTGTGTCCCTAAATACAACTGTCTGCTCAATCCATGCCAGACTTGACTGCTTTGACAAGACACAGCCCAGAAGCCAGAACTTCATCCCTCCTTAACTCCACATCAGGAATGGATCAAGACGGCAGGGCTCTGGGACAAGAAGGGGGCATGCTGAGTGGAGTGTACACTGCAGGGAACAGGCTGGCTCAGACTCTTGCCCCAGGCTGCTCACTTTATCCACTGTGGGTGGGCAGGGAACTTCTCTCAAAAAGTCTTACCCTGTCCTTTGCCAGGTCAGTTTATAGCACAGGAATGGAAGGGACTTTTTTTTTTTTTTTTAAAGGACAATTATGCCTGGTTATTAACCTAAGATCACATTTATTTGAAGTAAAATTTTAGTAATTTATTTAATATTTCTTATATTGTACTTCACATCCCTGTGACTATTTTGTAACTGCCAATTTTTACTTCTTAATCCCTTCACCTTCTTCACCTAGATCCCAGTAATTTAAATTTCGGTTTATTTTTAAACTCACACATACTCTTCCTTCTTTACCATTTTGGTTTATACATAGAAGGTATTTTGTGGAAATGTAAAAAAAGCAAAAAGAACAGCCTGCTTGTAACACAAAGTGAGTCAGCAGCAAAACAGAGTTGTTTGTGGGCAGAATGAGTGGGAGGGAAAGGAAAGGCAAGCCAGCTTGTAAACCCATAAACTTTTTAATTTACACAAAGGACGAAACCTAATTAATTTCAACTTGCACTTGCATCTGCAGAAAATAAAGGTTTAATGACTCCTGTCAAAGCATCACTAAGACAACAAAAGCTTGAATGTCAGGCTTTTTCTCCTCTTCAGCTAGCCCTTAGCCCTAAGACGAAAGAGCTTGTCTGTGATAGCGCTGCCCAGTCAGGTTTCTAGACCCAGAACAAATGGAAAAGTCAAACACAATAAACATAGGGAGCCCCTACACTTGTTTGTTCTTCCCCCCAGCAGACTGACAGGCCTGAGAATTGCGATCCTCAGTCAAGGCAGGAAGGGACTCAGGGAAGCCTCGGAGAGAGGACAAGGAGGAATGCCTTCAGGCCTGACCACAGGGCATGCAGGAGGCTGATACACATAAACAGCCCATAAATAGCCCAGAGGGCATGGAAAAAAATGTGTGCCAAAACTGAGAATCATGGATTCCCTAAACTTGTACAAAGCTTGAAAGAGGTGAAAAGTCAGCACCAAAGCTACCTGTAAAAGGGGAAATATTTCTGTTACTGTTTGGAAAGGGATGTGGTCTGGGATTGTTCTCAATAAGTAAACGCCTCTGACTGGCTCCTATAAAAAGAGAATTCTTTTCTTTTCCCCTTGGCCGTCACTTAATAATTCATGGCTCTTGTGCAGCAACACTGGGCCTGACTTAGGATGAAAGGAGGGAGATGTAGTCGGATGACTGACAGGAGACCAGAGATACCCTGAGGGCAAGGTAAACTGACAGTCATCCACCCACCACCCAGCACAGTGCCAGACACAGATGTGCTCTGAAGGATTCTGTTGAGGACAACCGGAAGGCAGGAAGCTTGATGATACACTCATAAAAATAGGTCCTTGCTATCTCTGAGTCTTATTCGAACTCGTCTGCCTTCTGTCTTATCTTTGTGGTCCTCCTTAAACATCCAGGGAGTTACCCAAGGAGAGTGGCATTGCTTGAAATGAGCACCTTCACTTTTTCCTCAAAATTTACTATTTACCTCTAGATAATGAAAAAGATGAGTCACTTTACACATATAAATGGGACTTACTCCATTCATCCCATGGGATGTGGATGGGGGAGGGGAAGCCATCAACAATGTCAAAATCTCCAGGGATGGTATATACCATTGGAAGAAGTCCTCCAAAGTGGTTCTATACTGGCTTCCACCGCAACACACTGAAGAATAACTGGCATTAAATGTAAAAACCATTTCTTTTGTCCTGGAACCCTGATGACAGTGGCTAGTGTGCCACTAGCTTTATATACTCAGGGTCAGCCCCGTGCTGCAAGGTTTCTACGAGTCAAGTGACCTAGTTTCTAAACAGCTCTACATTCTCAGTAAGTGGTAAGCTGAAGTCTCTTCCCCTTTCTGGAACGTGAAGTTCATCTATAAAACCATCCAACCCAACATTCGACAATTCTACCTAAAGAAAGGTACTAAGCCCTAAATCAATGACTAGAGGGACTAAACCTTTGAGATTCAGCTCCTAAAAATAGGTGTAATTACTCTCTTCAAGGACAACTGATTCTATATACAGACAGAAGGGATATAGTTAGCAAAACTGGCTTGAAAAAGTTCTACAATGGGAAGTCTGTTCCCAACATAATTATTTTTTAAGTCTGAGAATCGGAATGTCAACGTGCTTAAGCCACAGGGACCCTAAACAGGGAGGGTCAGCCCAGTTTTACCAAGTACTTCAGAGCAGACTCATGGACAGAGGCAACTTGCTAGGGTAAACGGGGCCTCACACGATGCTTGCACAAAGTACCCATTTCTTAGAGATGTGAACTTGCATCTGGGGAAACTACCTTGAACGAGCACAGGATAAAGAAGCCTGGCCCTGTCAGCACTTCAAACTGACAAGCTCAGCGGAAGCCCTGGTAGCTAATGTGACCCTCAGCATTTTGGTGCCCAAACCCTAGAGTAGCCCCCACTATACTTATCAGAGAACTTCAAATGGAACCCAACAAACACAAGTACATCCCCCACAGGAAGTTTGCCAGGACAGAGGTTCAAGCCTGGCACCTGAGGGGCAGCTGACAGAACCAAGGATGGCCAACAGGAGGTAGGTAGCCCAAGACTGCTGTACGCTTTGTATACCTTTCCTGCCACTGTTGCCCCATAATGGCACAAATAGCTGGCAAAGCAGTCAGCTCCCTCTTTTCTGGCTGATTTCCACCTAATCTGACAAGAGAAAGGGGCGCCTTAAACCCACTTCTGCTTCTGAGAACAGGAATGTAAGGCTCTTTACCTTGAAAATCAAAAATACCTCCAAGACCAGCGTGGCCTATCGTTACACTGAAATGAGTGAAGTGTGAATCCAGCATGGGAAAGCAAGCCCATCGACTTATATCGAGGCAGGCAACGCTGCCTCTGCCTCTCTCTCTGAGCTTCTTCAAAGTGGACTCTAGGTGTGGAGCATTAAAGACCACACTTGTTGGTCAGTGGTAATATAAAAATGCTTTCTCACACAACTACTTAACCTTCAGTAAGTGAGTAAGTTCTAAAAAGAGCATTTTTAAAATCAACTCAAGGTTTCCTTAGACAGAGATAAGTACCCACAGAACCCTTAATTCTGAAGTCACTGTGTTGGATGAATACCCTTGGCTACCTAATTAAAAAGCACATTTCCCTGCTAATGGACCCCTCTATGGAACAGCTTTCAGAGGGCAGGCATGCAACATGACCAACTCTATAATCAGTCCCAGTGAGATCCTGGTATAGCCATAAACGTGGCCTTTCATTTCTGGGTTACATTTTTACCTGTGGACTTGCTCTATGAAATAACTTCCTTTTGCTGTATTGTACCATTACAGGTGGTGCCTGTTAACCAAACTCTTAGTTGATAAGCTAAACTCACTATAACTGGGATGGCTAATAGAGAGCTGAATTATGCTCACAAGACCCAACAGACTTGAAGCCTTATGTTTCAAGAACGTTTTTGAAAACCTACAAAGACATTTCACACTAAATGAGTCAGCAGCTGAGACCCTATACTGGATGTTGGAAATGGATTTGATTAAATCTTGGAAAACAAGCTGTGCTAGAAGCACCGTGGACTGACCTGTTGTTTGCTTTTGTTTTCTGTAGCTGCTCGTCCTGCCTAGCGTACCACTCTTCTAGCTCCTTTATTGCTTTTTCTTTCCACTCTGCTTCTTGCTTCCGAGAATTGGCATCTTTGAAGGGAAGGAAAAAAAAAAAGAACACCAATGAAACAAAACACAAATTCAAGTGAATTTCATCAGTTTATTTTGGTCTTATTAAGCTCATGTTGTGTGCAGGTACATGTGCATGTGTGTGTTGGAACGAAAGATAAAATTCTATTTTCCCTGTCTATACACTGAGCTCTCAGGCTCAGTGATTCTATCAAGGTGTTCCAACACATTTTATCCCAGTCCACTGACACCCTACTGGATCACTAGTTTGAGTTTGTTTAGGGTTGGGGGGAGGGCAGAAATACCAACTGGGGAGAAAGCAATTACAAATGAGTCTTTAATAATGCTACCAACATTATTAGTTCAGGGTGGACAATTCATATTAGATACTCTTTTAACTAAATCTTCTCACAAACTATATTCCACACCCCAGGCTGACAGTGGTTTTATAAAACAAAAGGTGGCATTCTCAGTATGGCAGAAGCACTTCTATGAAGCAAGGAGCTATTAAGGAAATTACCAGAGGTAAAGAAGATTCAGGAACGGGGAACCACAAAGTATCTATTCCTGCTTACACTGCAGTGAGCTTGTGGCAAAGCTAGGACAGAACTAAAAAGAGACGCTCCAATGGAGAAAATTACGAGGGTGGGGCATCATTATGAATATCAACTGTTATCCACAAGGTTCTAGAAGTTAGAAGGAAAATGCACACCTAACAGGAAGCTTCTCAGGACTAAATATGGGTTTTCCTAAGACATTTAGCCAAAGAAACATGCCAGCATATAGCAAGAAAGAAAGAAATTCAGGTCACAGCTACTGCTCACAGCTACTGCTGCAGGTGACACTTGGAGTTACCGATACTTCACCAGAAATGTGTTCCCAAGGACACCTTCTCTAATGGATGTTTTACAGATGTTTCATTCAATCTTTACGACAATCCCAAGAAGGTAAACTCTAGTCTCATGTTCAACTGTGAGAAAAACTGCATCTCAGAAAGTTTGAGAAAACTTCATAAAGATTACAGCAAGTGCAGAGCTAAGATTCAAACCCAGGTCCAACTCTAAAGCTTACACATTCTTACTTCATTATACTGTCTCCAAAAGGTGGGATGGAAAGAGAAGTAAAGCTAGAAATAACCACAAGATGTGAACGGAAGGTGGTCACCACTGATCCAGACTAGAGTTTGGAAAATGCAGAACCAGAGCCCAACATGCCATCAGTGTCCTCGGTGGGGGGAGGTTAAAGCAGTGGTGGTAGCAAGTAACCACTTGAAGGGAAGAAATAAAGTATTTTGGAGGCATTTTTAGGGCCTTCGCAAGAAATGTCTTGTAGGAACAACCTACAGAAAGTGGTCAATAACTACTAGAAACAGTCTAAGAGCAGCTAGAAACTTCCCACGGTTCCAGATTATTAATTTCCTCTGTTATCTACCTTAACAGAAGGTGAACTATTGCTTAGAATTATTTTACTTAGATTTTCCATTGATGACTCAGTATACAGAGTAAACCTCTGATGAATGTTTGTCCATGGCATTAAGTGTATGTGAAATGCAATTAGATGCAATTAGAGATACTGTGGGCTGACTGTGCTACGTGGACAAGAAACCAAAAAATACCAGATTTGAAATGTAGTCTCCTTTTCAAGAGTGGTAAAATTACTTTTTGATATTATACAGTAGGAATAAAATATAGAAATTTATCTCCGAAAAGTTTATCTAAATAAAAATTTACACAAATTATAGTTACTGTATTAAACAATCCCTTTAAACTGTCTCCTTGCTTTTACAGATTTATGAAGTGACAATGGCAGTAAGAATTTAGAATTCTTAAACACTTAGCTTGATGAGACAAAGATTCAAGCCATAATACAATCTTCTCTTTGAATCTTGTGGGGAGGGGCAGGAATGGAGTCCCTTGTGACAGTGGTTTTCTTTGGTCATCCTCATTACTGTTCACAGAAAAGAATATTATTTGCAAACAGCCACTAGCTAAACTGAAAACCACTGACACCGGTTCTCTATTCTTAGCATTTTGTGCTTTCTCACAGTTCTTGCGAGGAAAAAAGGTGAAACTGAAGAAACACCTAGTTCGTGGACCAATTTAATTTGATTCAATCAGAATGCGAAGCCAAATATTTGCCTTCCCTCAGGAAGGCATCTTGAATTAAGTAAACGATACTTCATGGAATATTCCCAAAGTGTCCAATGTGATAATTGAAACGGAAAGTGCAATTTTGCCAAACACCAAAGTGTACTCTCTGCATGGAGAAGACAACTTTGCTAAACTTTGGGGTAAGAGAAAGACAAAGTTAGGTTCTGTAACATGAAAAATACTCCAGGGTGCATTTGAGATCTCGCTCCCCAGCATATGTTATGAGTTTGGCTCAAATAAACTCTTATAAAAGTTCAGGGAGGGAGAGAAGGATCGGGGGAGAAAAATGAAAAAAAAGAAAAATTCCAGGAATACGAATACTAGCTAAGTCTTGCCTTTAAGTCTACTAAGAAGAGATACATACAAAGAACAAGTAAGGGCTGAGGCTGCTAGCACCATGAAGACCCAGTTTCATCTTCTAAAGCTGCACTATCCAGTATAGTAGCTACTAGCCACGTGCAGCTATTTAAATTTATTAAAATAAAATTTAAAATTCAGTTTCTCAGTCATACTAGCCACATTTCAAGTGCTTAATAGCTACATGTGGCTAGGTTACCATACTGAACAGCGCAGATACAGAATATTTCCATCATCAAAGAAGTGACTACTGGATAGTGCTATAAAGGTTCAAACATTAAATGTCCCCTGTGTTATGAAAGCCACATAAACTAGGTTGGAGAGACAACAGATTTTACACTAATTGGCTGTGTTATCTGAGTCCTATTTCTAGGTGTCAGTTACCCTATCTGAAAAATAAGAGTCATGTTTTTGCTAGTTCAGTGGTTCTCAAGATAGAATAATAATGCTGACATTATGGTTACATAAAAGAATGTCATATGTCTAGATGCACAATAAAATATTTAGGCATGAAGTCTATGATGTCTGTATCTTAAAAGTGGATTGGGAAAAAATTATGAGTCTATATTCACAATACGCACATGTGTATATGTGTGTATGTATAAAAATACCACGTATACATACATGCCTCGTTTATATAAAGGTAATCCAATAAGGTAAAATGTTAATTACCGATTCTAAGGACTACACATGTTCATTTAACTAATTCTACTATTCTGTTTGAAATTTTAATAAAAAGTTGAGAAAAGAATACTCTGTAGATAACATCCCTAAACTCTGCCAAACCTCTCCAACCCAAATGTACAGACACCATGTCCCTCCGGATCTTGACCAACAGCTGACATTCCACGTACACAGCTCTTCACCAAAGGCCAAGCTAGCTGGAAGTGACCTTAGGCTTGGCATGCCCAACAAGACAGTATACGCTAAATGCAATGTGGCTGAAGGGATGGGTATGGACTCTGAAGCAGGGCAGACAAGCTGAAATTCTGACTCTACTACTTCTTAGCTGTATAATTCAAAAAGTTATTCTACCTATGCTTCACTTTTCTCATCCATAAAAATATAAAACCTTACCTTCCAGGGATATTAGGGTAACACAACCAAATTGTGCTTGTTTCCTACAATACCTCACATTTTCCTCTAAGCATTACCTTAAATTCGGCATTCAAATAATAAATGGACTGTGAAGTCTCTCGCATGGATATAACACCTTCGAGTTTACAAAGCATTCTCATAAATGCCATCTCAGATTACCCTTGGGGTTGGTAACATGATTTTACTCCACAGATGGAGAAATAGACTCTGCAAGGTTTGGGCAACCAAGTACCCACAGGTGGTAAGAATTAAGGCTGGGCCTTGAACCTAGTCTTTCACTCCAAGTCCATGGCTCCTTTCCACGCACGGCACCACTCTGCTTTTTCTGAAAGCAGAAGATGCACTCGATGGCTTTCTGGGCTGCCCTAATCCTTACAGTAGCCTGTAATTAAGCATCTCCACATGGGTAGCCTTACAACTTAAGGCTGAGAAAGATATCTTCTCAAAGAATAGACTGAGAAAGGTATCTTCTTAAAGACAAGGACATTATGGCTAATTCAACTTTAAAAGAGGTAAAAGTAGAATCAAGGTCAACTATTCCACTGAAAACAGAAACCTAAAGACAGAAAGGGATTCCTTACCAAGGGCTGCCAAGCGTTCCATCTGCTCTTCTCTCCATTTACGGATACTTTCAGGCTCGGATTGCAATCGATCCACTTGTGAAATAGCTGCGTAACTGTCTGTCGGACCATTACTCTCCTTAACACAAAACACAATTGTACTCCATCAGTACCGAAAACTCCCTCCAGGAAATGCACTTCATCCAAGTTAGAACCTCTGGTTATGTACAGCACTACTGGTTGTTGCAAAATGTTAAAGGATTACCTTAAAAACAGTGATACAACCTTACATGCTTATAGGTAGCTTTTAATATTACTACACTTAAACTTTACAGTCCATGAGAAGGCAGGGTAGTTGATCTCCTATTAAAAAATGGGGCATGAGTGGGAGATAGGAGAGTTGGGGAGGTAATAGGACTTACTAGGAATGTGTTATCGGTTCTGGTATCCTCAACTGACAAAGAGATTATGTGATATTTTCAAAGTAAGTAACAAAGGTAACTACACCACAGAGCAAGGTCTAGACTCTAAGACCTAAATGCTATTATACAACGCAGAAAAAGGTCATTTAATACCACCTAATCAAAATATAGTGAATCCTAGGAAAGTCCAAAAGAAAATGTAGTTACTACAGTCGCACCAAGAAAAAGAAAAAAAAGGCAGACAATTACGGGTCACAAGTGTTTGTGTGTGTGGGGGGGGAATTCTTCTTTATAGTGGGTTAAATTTGAGAATAAACAAATTGATCAAGACAAATAGAAATTAGTTTTTATAGAACTATTTCACCTGTTGAACTAATGAATGTCACCAGGTTAACCTAATCAGACTATAAACAAATGTGAAAAGGATTAGTAACTAATCCCAGGGAATGTTACCAGTTTAACCTAACCATATTACAAACAACAACAAAAAGTATTAGTAACTAACTTATTAGTACTTTCTCTGTGTCAGGCACATAGAAAAGCTTTCTCTCCCAAATATCTTGCAAAGCAAGTTTTTATTCCCATTTCACAGTTGAGGCACAGAGAAATAACATGTCCAAACCTACAGCTAATAAGGAATAAACCCAGGACCTGAACCTTATGCTGTCTCACTCTAAAGGCCAAGCTCTAACCCAGGGGCCAGAAACTACAGGCCAGGCCAGTGCCTGTTTTCATAATTAAATTTTACTAGAACAGAGCTATGCCCATTTCTTTACATAATTTCTAGGGATGCTTTCATGTTATAGCAAAAGAGTAGTTTAACAGAGACTTATGACCCACAAAGCTTAATGTTTACTATCCAGCCCTTTACAGAAAGTCAGTTCACCTCTGGTTTAAATCAATTAGACTAATCTCATCCTTCTTGCCAGTTAACTGATTGAGCGAGAAACAGAAAACCAGGATAAGCCAGGCACCGTGTTATTCCCCCGGGCTGCAATGATTACTCATTGGTCTAGAGGGAAATATAGAACTTTTTCTGGGTGGTTGGGAGAAGAGGAACCTTTGTCTTGATCTAGATAATGTGACACGCACACATGAGGCCTGGTAGTGCTTGCAGCCATTTCCCCACCATGAAAAAAGCCTGAGCATGAAACTGCACACTCAGAAGGCAGAGCTGGAGTCCTAGAGGTCCTGGTCTAAGGACACCTAACTTACTTCAAGGCTCTTTCAATTATATAAACTAGCAAATCCTCTGTTTAGGCCAATGCAAGTTGGGGTGGCAACCAAAAGCTTAGTGATACAGAGGGATAACAACGGTATCCATCACAAATACCAGCTCCCCTACCCCCATACAATCTATAAAGTTCAAATGCTGGCCCCACCACATACAATACAGGTCCCGTAGGTTGTTGTGAGAATTAAATAAGACTAAGTATAAACAGTGCTTGACATGGTGCATGGCAGCAAGTGTTTAAATTCGCTATCGTCGTTATTATCATTATGAAGGGTCATTTCTTGAGACTAAAGTTGGTAACACTAAGACCAGGACAGTAACGTTTTAAAAGAATGTTCTATCGGTGTCATTTCCCTTCAAATCCTTTTACTTTGGCAGGTAACATACCAGCTACTCATACATCCAGGAAAGTTAAGGGAGTGGAGTCCTTTCTAGGTCAATTCAAATCACAGGAAAGGAAGACTCTCGACCATTATCATTCAACATAATGTACCTGGTAGTATTCGCCATTCATCACACCATCAGCAGCATCTGCAAGACATGAGATTGCACTGTCAATCAGGACTGGTCAAAAACTGAGCCAAAAGATTTGAGAGTGTAATATAGTACTGCATGCCATAGTTACTATAAGCTACTCAATGTTATCCCTGTGCTAAGTACTAGACAGTACAATGAACAGCTTTCTATTTGAAGAAACCAATATATGCTTGTATACAAATGACTTCACCAAAATGTGATCAAAACTGTCCCAAGCTCCCAAGCCCAAAAGCCTTTGAGATTCTGTTTTCTGGCCTAGAGAGATAACACAGGGAATCATGGCAGAAGGGTCTCACAGAACAAGAGTGTTTCTCTATGAAAGTTCAGGAGAAGGCAAAAGAGAAGTATGGCCTGGAATCATTCACAGTGAGCAGAGATGCGAAGCTTCATGTTCAAACCAAGGTGCTGTCCCCACGAGTCAGGACTGTCCATCCGGTGGCTGGAGCAGGCCCGGTACCTAAGGGTCTACAGGTTAGACTTCTTGCTAATTTCTACAGTCCACTTGGAATTTGTCTAGAACAGCAAGATTTGGACATACCAAATTAAATCAGTGTTTTCAAGGATACAAGTTAAAAAAAAAACCCCTCAAAGTGAGGTGTACAGTCTGGTTTTACTGACACAATTATTCACAACTAAATGAGAAAATCCATCTCAGAAATATGAAAAATGTCTACGACTACAGACTATCAATCTATATGGTACAAAATGGTGGTCAACAGGCTGAACATATTTAAAATACAAAGTACCAAGTTAGGAAATTTCACAGAATTAGGATTTCCAGGCTTGGGGCGGCGAAGGCAGGCAGACTGAAGATCTGGCAATAACTGGGCCTGCATCCTTCAACTGGCAATCACTGTGAAATGAAGGCGGCCCTTCCATGGAACATGCTCCAGTCAATTTGTCAGTCCACACTAGCTCCACTTTTTTAAAAAACCCATTCTGTGTCTAATTCAGTTACCTGACTGGGCCAATGAGCATGTTTCTAACCCCTACGCTGCCCCAACAGTCATCACTAAGAGGCAGTTTATACAGAACTGCAAACCATTCCTCCGGAGTGGCTGCCCTGCCTTCCCTCAAAAACCCTCAATATAGGAACCATAAAAATTTAGCTTCCATCTACATAATCTGCATTCTTTATCTGTTGATTGATCAACATTTACTACCTACTATGTAAGACTTCCATTATTTTGCCCAAATGTTTTCAAACTTCAATGACATCTTACAGCATGGTGTGGGAGAGGGAAGATGAGAAAATAAACCTAAATGATAGAAGAACTCAAGAAGTAAAAGGAATAACAAGCATTTAAGAGTGGGCCACACACAAAAGGCCCTCAGAGGGCAATATATGGAAACAGCACAGCTTTCCTAGAGGCCTGGGGCAGAGTACGCTCAGCCTCATTCTTCCCTTCTGACAAAGAGTTCAAATAACTAGTCTGGTCCTGGTTCCTAATTACAGGCGCACTTCATTTTATTGCATGTTGCTTTATTGTGCCTCACAAATGGTGCGTTTTTTATAAATTGAAGGCAAGACCCTCCATCAGCAATAAGATACAACTTGCTTTATTCCTAACACTCGCTTTTTTTGTGCTGGTCTGGAACCGAACCCACAATATCTCCAAAGTATGCCTGTAAATACAATTTGAACTTCTCATTTTCCAAATCAACCCTAACATTTGATCTATTCTTTTGGTCTCTTGCTTCTGCCAAATACTCTTCTCTTGGCTTGAGGAGTACTGAAAAATTTTATAGATCATTCCCCCAACATGTTTCCTTGATACCAAAATGTTCTGTTTTTATAAAAAGAAAAATAGAGACAGAAGAAAATGCCATGTAATTTCATCACTCAGCCCACTGGTTTCTATCCTGTCAGTTTACCTAATGTGTATGCGTAAAATTTCAGCAAAACTGGTCCCCTATAACATATACTTTTTAGTAACCCATTCCTCTATATTATTAAACCCTCAACTTTCTTAGTATGAAGACACCTACTACTTATCTCTTCCAATGTGCCAGGCACAGTGTTAAAACGCTTTATATACATTAAGTTTTAATCCTCACAACAAACCTGTATGCATCAGCAGGGAACCCTGGGGTGAATATGGTGTTCTTAAAGGGGTAGATAACTGATAATATTTTAAATTTTGCCCCCCTCTTAAATTCCCCCCACCCCCGCCCTGTTCCACCCCTGATCGATGGATGTTGCCATTTCCCCTTAAGAACTGGATCCCTGAAGGCGAGGCATCTCCTCCCACGCGCTCATGGCGTGCACCTGGGAGGCCTGGCGCACCCAGAGTATGGTCTGAGGCTCCACCTGGGGCGCAAACCCAGGACCTTCTGCATGTAAAAGCAGATGTGCTAACCACTACACTATGGAGCCATCCCTTTAAATTTTTTATGCTTAAGATATGTAAGAAAAATATTAAACGCATTATTATGAGATAATCAGCCTTTAAAAAGTGGTGCAATACCTGAGCAAGCCAGGAAGTCACAGGAAAGATCATCTGATAACTTGATACATGAACACAATCTGTAAGATCTAAGTATTTCTCAACCCACCTCAGCTTTGATCTATGTTTCGATAGATCAAATGGTTATGTATCTTGATTTTTTCAACACAACTCATACTTTTCTTAACTTAATTACCCTGTTTTACTCCTATGCTTTATGACAGTACAAAAATGAGTTTCTCATAGTTTTTGTCACTGGCTTTTCATTACTTAAAGCTGTTTGTGTGCCACCTACACATAATTTTTCAAATATTCTATGAAGTTTTGGAAATACAATATTTACCAAAAAACTAAAAATATTTGGGGCAGGCATATTCAACTGCTCCTCAGTAATAAACTCCTTGATGCAGAACTGCTAGGTCACAGGACATATATTTTATTTTTTTTAATTTTTATTTATTTATTTAGGTGAGGCAACCCTTGGTTGACCTCACAGATTGCAAGGACCTTGTCATCATACAATCCCTTATTTTTTACGCCTACAGTACCTAGTCTTCCTAGGTGGTCTCCCATCCAAGTACTAACCAGGCCCGACCCTGCTTAGCTTCCGAGATCAGACGAGATCGGGCTTGTTCAGGGTGGCATGGCTGTAGACTCACAGGACATACATTTTAAAGGCTTCTAAACACAGTTTGCCCCCTTTTGGTCTACCATTTACATTACGGCCATCAGAACATGAGTGCCCCATTTCTCAGACCTTTGACACTAAAGACTCAATTTTATGTTTTTAAATTTTTGCTAACTTGACAGCAGGAAAAACAACTTATGGTGGCTTTGTTGTACCAGTCTAATTTTCTGTGAGGTAATCACATACCTCACATTCGATATTCTATACTGAATTCTCCGTTTGGCCCATTTTCTGCTACTTTCAATCTCTAAGTACTGTTATTTTCTTCTTATACTGCAAATATTTCCCCCCCTTTGACTTTTTATATGGTTTGATAGTTAACACCTAGAACTACTTAACTTGTACGTAGACACTATCAATTTTTCCTTTATGATTTCTGTATCTGCTTTTATGCTGAAGGCCTTTCCTACTGAGATATTCACTTTTCTTTTGGTACTTATAAAAAAAAAAAAAAAAAACCTCTTTTTAATCCACCTGGAATTAATTTCTGTGTAAGCTAGAAAAGAGTGAGATAATTTTAAATCCTAGAGTTTACAACAGCTAGTATGACCAAGCCAACATTCTGGTTAATATATTACAACTAACACACCAACTATCCAGTTCACATATTCCAGCCCAGGGCCATTGCCAATAGGAGACTTTAATCACTACTTTATCACAAAAGTAGAAGCAATTCTCATCCCATACCTCCTCCTAAGTCGCATGTTACCTCTCTTTTAGGTCTGAAGACTCATCCAGACTCACTGGCAAATACCTGAACTCTTAGTTACCTTACCACTGTAGTGTTTTTCAACTGGCCCAAGTCAAAGGATCATCTGTTGCTACAGAAATGTGCAGAAAACACATCTAAGGTACCTTGATTTATTAGGACAACTAAGCTAAGCAACATGATGCTCCAGAAGGAAACTGTCTTAAGGCATCTCAGGAACTCCAGACAGAAACGAGGGTCAGAATACGTTTCTGGAGATGAAAGACTCTTTGTCCCAAACTCACCTTCAACCTCCCATGTTCCCCAACCACTGAAAGTCAAACAGACCCGAGTCTGAATTCCAGTGAGGTCTTATTAGCTTACTACCTTAGGATCACCGCTTAATTCTATGATCAGTTCCCATCTAAAATAGAATGACTACCACGTAGCCTGCAGACTTACTGCATGGACTTGAAAGTATGGACAGAACCTGGCATAAAGTAAATGGGCAGTACTACTAAATACTAAGCATGAGATTTCCCTGAACTACTCTCTACCACTGCTACCAAGAAAATTACTCTCTTGCTCCAGAAAGCAAGCTTTAATTCGCATACCTCTCTTCCTCCTTCTCCAAGAAAGGACTTGTCAGAAACATACCAGACAGTCTCATCCCCGTACTCTCTCAGTAGCTCCTTAATTGCCTCTTATTCTCTTCCCTCCTCAGTCCTCATGATTGAAGGCTTGAACAGCTCTAGAATTAGGCTCCCTCTTTCCTGATCACTTCATCTTCAATATCCCCTAAGCCATTTCACCCTGCTGGTTACCTCCCACCTCTAAACTTAAGTCTCCTCTCCACCTCTTCTAAAAACAGAGTCACCCAGGGCTCAGGCCGTACCCCTCTAGTTTTTGCCAGCCTCTGTCTTCCACAGGCCTTTTCCCCAAGGCTGAGGGGGAATTTAGATATGTTCTTCTCTCAATCTGTTAGAGCCTCCTGCCTATAGATCTTTGTATAACACATCAGATATAGAGCTCCCTCCTAAAATGTTCCCTCAAAACACCCCCTCCCCAAAGCCTATAGGCCTGGTAACACCCTCCTCTCCCTACTCCCAAGAAAAAATAGTAGCTAGGTACTGTGTGTAAGCACTCTACAGGTGTTCTCTAATGTAATCCTAGCAATCCTATGTGGTGTGTATTTGCACCTTTTAAGGAGGAAAAAACTGAGGCAAGGTAGTGGCGCCAGTGTTGCCTGAGATCATAAAGCTAAACTCACACTCAAACTGTCTAGGACAGCACAGAATCTTGAGAAAAGGAGGGAGAGAGAGAAAGACAAAGTGTCCAACTGATTCTCTAACTCCCAAAGGCAGTGCTGACCACTGCACTATTTTTTTCTGACCAGTGTGCTATTACCAACCCCAACCACATTGTCAAGAGATCTGGCTTTAAATCACTAAATGCTTAGTTCACTAAGAAAGTCCTTCCCAGGAACTAAGTCAGCAATCATCCCTTCCTTCCCTTTGCTGAAAGCTTGATGCACAAGCGACCCATGTGCCCAACCCTATTATCTCCCTATTACCTCTGCTAATCACCAAGATCTGCTGCTTCTATACAGAACCCTTGGACCTGACATTTTTGTCCATTCCTTTGTGTCTATGTGCCAGACACCCTGCTAGGCACCGGGGATACAGCAGTGAGCCAGAGTAACGCTATCCTTAAATCAGACAGTCTTCTAACTATGGGTCCTGATTCTCCCAATTCTGTCTTAGCCAGGTCAGCCACAACTGCCTTCCAGAAAAATAGTATCTTATTCCACTATCCTTCCGCTGAAACTGCAACAGAATATGGTACAGTTGAAGGGTGGGGAAAAACAGGGCTCAACTAAGCAAGTCATTTCTCTGTAAGACTCGGTTTTCTCTTCTATTAAATGAGAGAGGTAAACCATGAACCTAAAAAGTACATTTTATGATTCTTAGGCAAATGTTAAAGACCGCTCAAGAACAACAAAAAAAACCCCTTATCACTCAAAGTCAACTTCATCTCCCAGCCACAGCCCAGTTCAGTCCAACCTTCTTGCTATAAACTGCATTTTCAGGTATATTACACAATCTCATGTAAGTTCTTACCAGGAGACTGATTTGCTTAGGAGGCAGCACTGTACAGTGTAAAAACTCTGAGGCTGCAAACTAGCGGTCTCCCCACCTCCCAACACAAAAGGTTCTGCTTGGCTGGCATAGTAATTTGAGATTTCTGAGTCTGAATGCTTTTATGAAGAGCACTACTCTAGCGCACCAAAGCCTCAGTCTCCAATACTCATTATCTCATCCTCGGCATGATTCTCCCATATATGTTATCTACCCAGCCCCTTAAGGTTTGATTTTAGACTAGTATCTGCCCCACTAGTTCCCTATTTTCCTTAATTAGAACTTTAAGTGAAGGAAAAGCCACGTCTCATTTCTTCTAGCTAATTTCCTACTTCCTTATTCTATTGAAAAGATCTCTTTCACTCATCCTTTCCTCCCACCACCACAATCCTAAACATCATACATAGATAAGGCATTCAAAGTTCAAACTGGCATTCTACTATATATGTGTATATATTTATTTCTAATTTGGCTGAAAAAGGGCCACACCAGATACTTTATTCACCTCTTGGAAGACTAGTCCAGGATAATCTTCAGTTCTGCTTAGGCAACACTGCCTACCAAAGCTGTTCCAGAGGAAGCAGAGTTCCAGGAGTCCAAGCCGTAATACAATAAACAGCAAACTCTTATGCCTCTTGGGCCAGAGTTTTTCTCCAGAGCTAGACCATCTTTCTTCAGTTCCCTATTCACTCCTCCTTTCTTCCCCATAACCCAACATTCTGTACACCTTAAGTGACAAAAGCATCACTGCATTGCCATTTTTGTTTGCATGTCTCAAAAACGATACTATTTTTTTTTTCCTGCCCTCTTTTCCTAATAACTGGTCCTGTGCTGAGCCCAGACCTGCCTGTTAAGTCTGGCCAAATTACGCCAATGCAGCTGTACTTTAGAGGCCAGGCTCATGGCACAGAAAGTGCTCAATGAAAAGTTCCGGAACTAAACGGGCTTCTTCGGGCTTTTCAGCTTGTCACCCTATGTTCTTTGGTTTCTCGCTCTGCCCGCGCCCAGGAGCACTCACACTCTTAGAACGGAGTAGGCGTCCAGAGCCTAGGTTTCCGCATGACTGGGTCGGGTCTCGTTTCCTCTCTGCACTCCTCAACCTCCCGATTCATCAAGGAACAAGAGTTACACAGAGCTCTCAGACCCATTTTGGGACGAATTTCCATATGTCCTCCCGCCCCAAACGCGCCCGCACTCTCACCCGGACCCCCGGGCGGCTCGCCGTGCGGCTGGGGCCCAAGGGCGCCGCCGTCCAGGATGGCGAAGGCCTCGTCGTTCTCGATGCCCGCAATCTCGCTCTCCTGCTGCGCTAAGAAGGCCGCGGCCGGGTCTTCTTCGCCCGCGCCGGCCACCCCGTTCCCCAGCGCGGGGCCGCCCGGAGCGCCGGCGGGGGCGCCGAACGGATCTAGCTCAGCCATGACGGACAGTTCAACGGCAAACACACCGACGTTAAGAGACAAACCAACTGACACGGACACGGTGCCCGGGAGCAGCTGCTGTGGTGGCGACTTCGCTCCGAGGACAAGCGGGAGGAGAGAGAAGACGGAAGCGGAAACCCTGCCCCTATATCCGGTTGGCCTAGACGGTGTTGGAGAGCCAAAACGGTAATAACCAATCAGAGGACAGCAATCATTCGCGAGCTACCCAATCAGCAGGAGGAGGGGCGGGCCCCCGAGGAAAACTCGTGACTCCGGCGGCGCGGCGGGTGAGGACGAAGAATCCCGTGGACCTGAGGAGGCAGGATTGGCGCTTAACTTAAAACAGCCTTTCCCGCCCGGCGTTTGGGATTACACAGATACGGACCGCCACCTCTGAGGGGACACAAGTGGTGAGGTGAAGTTAAGGATGCGATGATTAGTCAATTACAGAAGAGGCTAACTCCTTAGGCTTTCTGAACCTGTTTCCTCATTTGTAAAATGGAAACGAGAATCCTGCACTGGCTCACTTCCAGGACTGTTGGGAAGACTAAATCTTTTCACAGAGATGTACTGGCTTTATTTAAAATATTTGTATTTGTTAACTCACTAACTCCAGCCTGACTTAAATGTGTTTCAAATCCACTGATTTTGCTCCCCCATAGGGAGAAAAGACGAATATATCTCTTTTGACAAAGCCCTTTTGCAGCGAGTACGTCTTTTCAGAGCTAGAAGTTTCTAGAACTGGAAATTCTGTGGGGATCACCTAGTTCATAAGGAAATTGAGGGATCAGTAACAGGGAGTCAGTAGTCAAGAGAAAACCTAGGTAGCACCCCCGTATGTATACACACATTTTCTGGCTAGGGACGGCAGGAACTTTAAAGTTCCTTCAGTATTTTAAATTAGGGGCATATCAATAACATGTCTAGTTAATTTTGTCTACACCATAGAAATGATAATAGAGTAATCACAGTTAATCATACTCACTTTGAAGAGTGGGCTTATGCAGTGGCCAACACTCCCTTTACCACCACCACACTAAAAAGGAAATAATCAAAAACAAACCAACCAGAGGCAAGAAACAAAGGTGATTTTTAAAACTACGTGTATCTTTAATGATAAAAAAGGTAATATTTGCTTAAAGCATATATTTAAAGTCATTTTCAGTATGAAACAGGAAAGTTTTGAAGGAAAACGTTTAAGAAATTTAAATTTTTAAGGCCTGCAACTGACTCAGTTGTCCATGCCCTCGTTTAATACGCTTTCCTAAAATAAATTGGCAATAACATAATAGAATTATTTGTCATTTATCTTCTTGAAACAGTTTATCCTGCCTATATAAGGAGAAGGGGAAGAGATGACTGTGAGGGTCCGAGGAAGACAATTTTGATTGTTTACAGCAGTGAGTAACTGAGGGACCAACAGCCTTATCTCCCTGGAAAGTGCATGATTCTGGGGAAGCTGTCCAGAGAGTCACTTGATAGAGGAGGCATCACATATCATGCAAAGTCAACATTTATACATGCAAAATTGGGGAAATCAGCTGAGGGATGACCACAGAGGTGGTGGCTTGAAGCTATTTTGGAATATGTATAAGGTTTGGAAGAGTCAATAATGACAGCCTAATATTACTGTTGTGCCTTTAAAGGTTCAGAGCTTGGCATGTTTAGGGGTCAGTGAGTACAGCATACCTTGGAGGTACTGTGGATTCAGTGACAGACCACCGCAATAAAGCAAGTCGTGATCTTGCTGGCGGAGGGTTTTGCCTTCCATTTGGGAAAAAAGCAACATCTGTGAAAAGCAATAAAGTGAAGCACAATAAAACAAGATTTGCCTGTAAATTAACTTGGCTGAGCCAGAGGGCTTAAGAGGAGGAATAATTGAAAGTAAATCTGGAGACATGATGGGACCCCGAATGTAGTCCATGCAAAGGAGCCTTATTAGTGATAAGGACTCATGGAAATTTTCAGAGAAATGGAAGGGAGGCTAGTCATATTTGGTTGAGAAGTCCTAGAAAAGTTTCGTACAGAAGATAAGTCCTTTTTTAGTTTCTGTCTCTCCAACTAGACCTCTAGATAAGAGCATGGACTACATCTGCCTTGTGTTTCAGGTCTGGCATTATGCGTAGTACATAGCAATAAATATTTATTGATGGAATGAATGGAATAGCATTAGAGCCGGAGCTCAGAGGATAAGAGCTCAGAGGATAAGAGCTGTGAGAGAGATGAGATAGAGGAGAAGAGAGGCAGAGGGTGTGGCTGTGCTTTGGGAAGTGATTTAGCTAGATGATGGAAAAATCAGGAGAAAGTTCATACATAGCTGAAGTAAGTGTGTTGAAGTCAAATTATGGAGCACTTGAGTGCCCAGGTGAAGACTATTCCTTAATTGCAGAAGCTGTGAGGAACCTTTGAAGGGCTTTAAACAGGCAATGACTTGGTGAGAACCTTGTTCTGGAAGAATCTGGCAGCTTTGGCAGCGTAAGCATAGGAGAGGGTTCTGAAAGGTGAGAGGACAGATACGAAAGACACGTGGGATATTCAGGAGACATTCAACAGGATCTTGAAAATTTAAGTCTGAAGTTCAGGAGAGAGGAGGTTCTAATTTCAGCAATGGTGGGCAAAGTTGTTTAGGGCCAACTCTTCTGCTGAAAACAACTAGAAGGAATACACACTAGAAATAAAGGTGAAAATAGACTAAAGCCCAGCATTAAATCATATAAATTCTTGACTGAGTTAAAGTGATTCAGGCTTTCTAGTGCTCTTAGCCTAGAGCTGCCTGCCAAAAACAAAAGTGAATTCTCTCATCTGAAAATAAGCATGTAAAAACAAAACATACTCAGAAACATTTTCAGGGGCAGACATATAATAGAAATCCCAAGGGATTCAGATAATGGCATTATCAGATCTAGAATTTAAAATAGCTATGATTAATGAGTTCAAGGAATTAAAAGAAAATGAGAATTTCGGCAGTTTGGAAATTTGAGTAAAACATTTACAGTAGCCGATGTTAAGAATTCAATGGATAATAAATTTTAATAGTGGATTAGACATAGTTGAAATGAGAATTAGTGAACTAGAAGACAGCAGAGAAATATCCAGGCTGAAACATAATTTAAAGGATGAAAAACACAGAAAAGAGCATTAAAAAATGAGGAATAGGTTTTATAAATATGAAATTTAGCCATGAGGAGAGGAGAGGAGAGAATGGAGCAATGTTAGAAAATAGCTAAGAATTTCCCAAAATTGACAAAATAAATTAAGCTAGAAATTTGAGAATCACCATGAACTCCAAGCAAGATAAAAATAACCTCCCTAAAAGAACTCTTGTGGACTTTAAAAATTAACATCTAAATTTTTTTATAAGTTAGTTGCAAAGGATATAATTTCTAATATATTGTAAATATTGATCCTTTCAAATAAAATTGTTGCATTGCTATTTTAAATGTTTTCAGTGGCTTCCAAACACTGTAGTGATTTGATACCTTCCATTAAAAAAATACATAATAAAACTTTTCTTTAACGTTAAGAAATTTGAGATTTTCACTTTTGCTCCATGAACATATAACAACACTTGCCCCTAAATTCTATTCTATTAGAATTTTGTGCTTGAAAGACTTTTATTGATCAACTTATCATACTTCTCTGTAACAAAAATATATAATATAAATATAATTAACTTTAAAAATATCCCTTGACCATAAGACTCTGAAAGTTAAAATTATATTGTGGATTAATATTATAATTATTACTAGTACAAGCAATAAAATATTCCAGAAAACTTTATAAGTAATTATTAAATATTAAAAGTAAAATTTTATTAGAAATTTCTGTCTTAAATAGATAGGCTTGTATTATCTATTCCTGTGTAATAAATTTTCTTAGAACATCGCACCTTAACAAATATTTATTTCTTCACAGTTTCTGAAGGTCAGAAATCTGGAAGGTCTTAACTCAATGGTCCTCATTGTGGTTTTGACATGCATTTTCACTTATAGCTAATAATATTTAGCATCTTTTCATGTATTTTTGGCCATGCATGTCTCTTCTTTGAAGAAATGTCTATTCAGATCATTTGACCATTTTTTAATTGTTACTGAGTTGTAAGAATTCTTTATATATTCCAATACAAGTTCCTTGTCAGATATGTACTTTTCAAATATTTTCTCAATTTGTGTCTTTCACTTTGATGGTATCCTTTGAGGAACAAAAGTTTTCCATTTTAATAATGGTTAATGTATGTTTTTGGAATAATATCTAAGAAACTATTGCCTATTCAGAGTCGTAAAGACTTACACCCATGTAAGACTGAAAGTTTTTTAAAAATTTAACAACAGGAAAAAAATTAGATCACTGAAAATTCTAAAGACATTATAAAGATCATAGAGGATGTACAAATAATTGTATGGTGTGACTTTGAAAATTTAAACGAACTAGAGAAACTCCTAGAAAAATACAACTTAAAAATAACACAAAAAGAAATAGAATCGAATATTCCTATGATTAGTAAAAACAATTTAATAAATTAAAAAAACTTCCCACAAAGAAAACTACTTGGCTTCTTTAGTGAAAATTTCAGTCTTTACAAATTCTTTCAAAGAGTTGGAAAAAGGAGGATACAGTCAACTTGTTTTATGGAAAGCATAATCTTTATACAAAACCCAACAAAGACAATAAGAGAAAGGAAAAATACAGGTAAAGTTATTCATGAATATAGTTGAAAAAACCCTGAGTAGGAGTAGGATGGAGTAAGCACATTCCTCCTGGCCTTTCCCACTGAGTCCTAGCCGGAATCCAGGGCGAAGAAACTACTTGAGGACTCTGAAAAGTAAATAGTGGCAGATGAATTGGGGACAACCAAAATATGAAGCAATGAATTGGCAGTGAGTTCACCATTTTTTATTTTCTGATCCTCCTAACACTTGACCTCAGATATGGGCAAGGCTATGAAAGTACATGACAGAGAGGGCTAAGTGAAACTCTAGCTTTCTGGCTGGAGAACTAGGAAAAAAAAAACAAAAACTAGGGAAATGAATAGCATAAAGGAGATTACAGAGAGGGAGGAGTTTGGGAAAGTGACCTCATAATATTATGTAGAAACTTCTTCTTGGATTGAAAGAATCAACATAGTTAAATGACCTTATTACCTAAAGCATTATGCAGATTTAATGCAATTCCCATCAAAATCCCATCAGCATTT